CTTTTAGTTCCAGCCGAGTAGCCATGGCCCTCACTCCTGTGGCAGCTTCAGTCTGTATGATGAGGTATGATGTGTACAAAAGGCACAGACCAAGACAAAACCTACAGCCTCCATTTGTTGCACAAGGCAAACAGACATTTTTCAAACTAATTAGCCAATAATATGCAAGAGAAAAAGTAATATAGTGCGACTAACAAAGGTGTTGATGATTGAGTGCTCACACTGTAATTAGTGTGTCAGGCCCTCATTTCTCTGCCAAGCCTCAGCTATTAATTGCACCAAATTAGAAAACTATATCAGAGGCAAAATTATTCTTTCACTTGTCATTTTGAGAGAGGGAATTCATTCCATTCAAGAGGCAGGTTAAAAAGAGGGGAAGCAGATACTAATCTGCTTATGTCATGTAAATAAATGTTCCTTGTGCTATCTGTAAGGAACTGCGTTAGGCATCTTTAAACTGCCGGCAAAGAAGTTACCTTCCAAGTTGCTGCATTACGCCTGAAGTAAGCAAATGTCCGTGTAAACCAGCTGTAAATTTCATTAAGTGTTAACTGCCTGTCACTCGATTCCATGATAGCCTGAAATGAGACAAGATACATAGTGACATAAAATAATGGTTTACTAACTAGACTGGATGACACTTTCTCAACCAAGCCTTACTTTAAGCATTAATGAATTTTAATATAATCAGGCAAACTTAATTTTCTCTCTACTTACCTGCCTTATGAGAGTTGCATAAGTAAATGGAGGTCTGACATCTGCATTTTTATAAAATTCATAGTTTGGGGCAATTTCTGTAAAATAAAACCACACAAACTGTATGTTAATATTATTAGTGCATATATACTGCACTGTGTGTTATGATTGATGACATTGTTTTCTGCGTGCTCACAACAATTTTCAAAGGAACTATTTACTCAGGAATGCACAAAAGGCCACAGACAAACAAATTATACCAAATATCTTCTCTGTGCTGCTCAATGTGAAAGTGCAAATGAAGCATGTCCCAGTCAGTCACTTAACGTACGCCAGCAGTGGCGTACCAAGCCACCCAGCCTGCTTCCAGCAGCACGATCGTTTTAAAATGTGCTCATGCAATATATTCGTACATGGTCATACAGTGATGGTCAGCCATCTCCTTCCCTGCCCTCTCTCATTTCCTATCTAAAATGTTCCTTTGTAGGATTTTTCTCTGGTTAGCAGAGACGTAGTACGCTAACGTGCATACACAGAATTAAATATGGTTAGAGAGCAGGCTGACGGCAGCAAAAGGAGTATGTATCATCATTAATACCAACCCTTTTCACATATCCAGTATTAACTTCTTACGCTAAAACAAGACTCTTTCAGAGCATCTTTTCCTTCTGTTTTCTCTTTCTTTATAATCATTGGAAAGTAAATTACAGATAAAAATATTATTTTAACATCACCTGTATTAAACACCTCTGACATCCTCAATCTGTCTCTACAATATTTTAGTTATAGCATAAATGGGGGGGAATATCAAAATAAAAGTATTGATCCAAAGTGTCCTACCTGATGACATGGGAATGTTGTATTTGTCTGAATGTCTTCTTCGAATGGCTCCCACATTGGGTACACTGGCTGGGGTGATTACGGAGGGTCCCTGGGTAATTGGGGTGACTGGGGCCGTTGGTGTTGTGGGAGTTTGAGGTAAGCTCTGTGGGGATGTCTCCAACATGTTCTTAGACATGGTGACACTAGACACCAAATTGAGCTGCAGAAACCCAAAAGGAAAGAAAAAGCAGAAAAGGAGAGAAGAAGGAAAAAAAAAAGACTTAAAAAGGTTTGACAAATGAGAGTGGATTCACTTCTACAGCTGTGTTGCCACTAATAAGCTGCAAAAGGAAGCAGCCAATCTCAACTAATTACAGGATGAAATTGTATCATAAGAACTCTAATTAGAGGATGCTGTTAGAGGTTATCTAATAATCTGCTGCAATGTTACTTAGGACTAACTCCTTCTAGTACTACCAGACTTCACAGAAAGTATGTTTGCCTGCAATAGAAACTAGCTGGTGATTATTTAGGTCTGTTGTAAAACAGATCTAGCTCCTGATGAAGCAACAGTAACAACAATAAATGTAATAAAAGATGTTAGTATTCATACAAAGAAGACTTAAAATAAGTTGCTAATCTGATGCTGCCAGGATTTTTTTTTTTCCCCCCAGTCCCAAATCTCAGCTGAGAGGCTCCAGCCAGCTGGAAAATTTTACACTGACCTTTAGTCTCCTTGCTAATTTGGTGGAATGGTAATGACATTACTACATATTCAAACAAAATTGTCTTAATTGCAAATTAGCCGGAGGAGGCTGAAAATTTTCAAATTAAATCTGATTGGAGATGGAGAGAGGGAAATGGAATTTCCTCACTAACAATCATTTGTGGCATGTGTTAACAAATATAATGAAATGTCAAGTTTGCCAATTCCTCTGGAAGTATCATTTTCAATTTATGATTACAGTGTCACTTATTGCTG